ATGGAGAGAAGATCATTATCTTGAAACACAATGTGCCCACCAGGCCCAACAAAAGTTGAGAAACTTGCTTAGTAGTACTGGGCCTGGATGACTGATTGGAATTGGGCTTTGCATGGCCTTCTTGACGCCCATACCCACAATCAGCCTCATCCTCATTCTCAAGGTCATAGGGAACCATTCTGCGAGCATTGGGAGCTCACATCCTATCCCACAAGTTCGATTAGACCAATCCTGCTCATCTCCACTGTTCTCACCCAATGGCTCTTCAGGTCTATGCTCCATATCCCCGCATCTACGACGAAATCTTCCAAAGAACCTTATGAAGCCCATGGAACGATCCAGCCATAAATACACTAAGGGTCTGAATTGGCTGTGTGGCCACTACTCATTCCCAAGCTCATGAAGAACCTTCTCTTCACCCCAACCTTCTCGCCCACACATAGACATACATGAAGTCAGGTTGTACCAAACCTGGCACCAAGGACATTCTTTCTCGTGATGCCACCCAAGCTCAAAACCTCATTGGACCTCACCAACACCCACCCAAAAGTAAACCAATAAATTGTGCCAAAAATATGCTCTACCATTATCATGAATCATGAGGATCAACCAATGTTGTACCCAAATGGTTCTGATCTTCCATTGGGCCACCTAACCATGCACACAAACCCATTCCATGGACCCCATCCTCATTGATTGCCCAGCAAGTTTCCCTCTCACATGGTGCCCATGTGCTCTTGGAGGCCAAACAAACCCAATCAAAGCGCCATCCATATTGCGCTGGTGTCTGGGGCATTTGCTCAATGGCTTGTATAGCAATACAATTTGCTCAAAGTCAGGATCCCAATCTCTCATGCAGGTGTTGCGTCTATGCAGCCGCCTTTGGTCTCAAATGAAATTGCATACATACAGCCACAACCCCAATGCTAGCTGTTTGATGCACCCAATGCTTCATCTCATCTCATCTCATCTCATTTCATCCACATTGGAAGTTCCATTTTCCTATGCTCTCTAGCTATATGCCCATCTCTCTCTTTCATTGGATATCTTAAGCCATCAAATCAAGACAATCTTCCACACTCCATCATTGAGACCATACAGTATAGGTATCCACCCTCACCACATAGAGCCTACAGTATATACAAGTGCTTGCAGGAGCAGACAGTTGTGTCTTCAAACAGACGAGAGGAATATAAGAAGTTGTGGTGGAATTGCTACTCTTACACAGGTAGCTATAATGAAATCAATAATCTTGACTATCTCTAGCACCTGGGCCACTTCCAGCTCGTGGAATTGACAATGAGTCCTCAATCTCCAGCAAGTGGGGCCTGGGCCTAGGCTTCTCTAGGGGGGGGGGCGCCCGAAAAAAAATTGCTCCTGGAATTGGACAACCAATTTTTTTTGGGGGGGCGCTCCCCCCCCCTAGAGAAGCCCAGGCCCAGGCCCCAGTTGCTGGAGATTGAGGACTGATTGAGATTGGAGGTCTTGGAGACCAGATCTCCCTCATAGAGGTGATGACCTGATGTTGTATGATGGGATGTCGTGGACTTGCTGATAGATGATGGTTGATGGACTTCTGTGTGGGAATCAATGAGAACTAGTATGTTTGAATCAGGTTGATGAGAAATTTGATAGATTACAAGTCGACATTTTTGCTAGACACGTTCTTCAAAACAACTAACATTTTCAAAAAAACACAGAAAACCACAAATCACAAAAACGCGTAAAAACCACACCCGCATAACGTCGTTTTCTGTTTTTTTAACCCTTCTAGGCTTGCTTGAACCTTTTTTTTAACCCTTCTAGGTTTGCTTGAACTTTTTTAAAACCCTTCTAGGTTTGCTTGAACTTTTTTTGAACCCTTCTAGGTTTGCTTGAACTTTTTTGGGACTGTTCTAGGTTCGCTTGAACTTTTTTCCAACCCTTCTAGGTTTGCTTGAACTTTTTTTGGAACTCTCTATGTTTGGTTGAACTTTTTCAATACAAAAATGAACTTTTTCCATAGAAATAGAACTTTGCTAATCTCCTGTCTTATTAGGGGTTCGGCCATCTTAAGACGAAGACATGAAGAAATACTACGACTGAGCGGTAGAACGCACGAAGAAGAATTCAACAATGCGACGGTCTACACGCGATTCGAACGGCCAATAGCCGTGTTCGAGATTGGGGATCGCAATGAAGGAGGCCGTTACAAGGTATCCAACAGATTCATCGACGCTTCAGGTCCACGATACAAGGATGCGCTAATTGAAGTGTTCCTGACAGCACAGGCCAAACGGGGCACGACTTCCAAAAGTGCAAAATCTTGTACCTGATCCACTTCAGCTTCACAAGAAGATGTACGCTCAAATAGAACCATTTTGCGACAAAGGAGCCATCAAAACCATCCCTCAGAATGGTGCAACAACCTTTTGAGTGGAATACTGGAATGGATGCACGAACCATCAAGGGTACTACATGAATCCGCCAAACTTCAGATCCGGCGAGTACATCGAACAGACGCCCCCAAGTACAAGTGGATCGATGACGTGAGTCACAAACTCAATCGTCTGCTGAGACATGGAATTGGAAGGGAATACATGAAACCCAAGCCAGGGAAAAGGTCACACCGAGGTGTGAAGTGCAATGAAGGAGGATGGGTGAACCTCGACGATCTTCAACTATATGGACCATGAATATCTATTTGATGACACCTATGGACATGACCTCAGAAGAGCAGAAAGAGATGGAGTAACCAACGAGCTCCGCGCGGAACGATACTTTCTCATCTGCAGGGCCATGTGGGCATCAAAGAGACTCCAGAGTCGAGCGAGATTCAAGAGAAGACCTTGAGGATGAAGATGAATCAGCTTACTGGTCATCAGAAGGGATCTCGACTGAAAGTTTGAAAAGACCACGACATCAAAGATGGCCATATCCAGTGGCAGTTCGAGCAGCAGCACCCCACAACACGAGTGAGCGCAACTCAGCCGATGATGAAGAAAAGATTGCGACGCAATATCCTTCTCATACTATACATCACGCGTCCTGTCCGACGCGATTGCAACAAGTCTAGGTGGAAGCTATCATGTGGCAACGTTGGATCGCATAGCCTCGATCATGCAATTTCGAACCACGCCAGGAGGAACAGGACGCATGAGGAACAGCACTTTCTTGAGTCACTATGCCCCGTGGGACAAAAGATCAGAGACGATGCTGAGGACAAGAAAGATGCCAAGAGATTCCACCGATTCATCTATTGAAGCATCTCGGAGCACGTCTAGCAGAAAGTTCATACGTGATAATGTTCAAGACGGTGCCATGGGAATATGTGACAGGCACTTGGTACAAGGACACCACCAATGGAGAGTGGAAAAGACTATTGATCAAGAACATCAGTCATCATCTCATCCTTGCCGCAAGATTTCCCAGTAAACTTGCTACCAAACTCTCCGCGACCCATTTTTCAATGGAAAATCAATAGCGATGGAAACAGCTAGTTTCATGTTTTTCAATAGAAATGTTGAACTTGATAGCAGAATTTCTATTGATTTTTGATCAGAACAAATACTGATTTTCTATTGTTTTTAAAAGTGATTTCTATTGTTGTTCAATGGTGATTTCTTTTGGTTTTAGATGAGGTTTCTATTGATTTTCAATGGTAATTTCAACGGTGGTTCTTTTGGCGTCAAGCTGGTTTGCTTTGCTTGTCTCATGGCTGGATAGCCATTAATGTAAATAGTTTGGCTGGATAGCTGAAGCTTTGTCTGGTTTGCTTGTGGCTGGATAGCCATTAATGATATGTAAATAGTACGGCTGGATAGCCGAAGCTGCGTTTGCTTTGTTTGTCTCATGGCTGGATAGCCATTTATGTAAATAGTATGGCTGGATAGCCACAGCTGTTTGCTTAGCTTGTCTAACGGCTGGAGAGCCAGCACCAGCTGAGCCAGCACCAGCTGCTGCATCAGCTGCTGCAGACTCACCCACAGAGCCACCAGATGCAGTTGACTGGAGCGGCTGGTGGGAGGACTGCCTTTAGATGGCTGGATAGCCACTTTGACAAATGGTTCGATAGCCACGGTACCTTGCTAAATAGTTGGATAGCCACCTTGCTGAATGTAAATGACTGGAGAGCAACCTTGCTAAAGATTCAGAGCCTAATGCCTTCACAACATGTAAGAATCTCTTGGCCGGCCACAACTGCAAGAAGCAATTGCTACCTACGGTTTTGGTACCTATGCACCAGGGTTCAACGAACGCCAACAAGCAGGGACTCCATCTACAGAGGACATGCCACGGGCAAAACCCTCAGAAGCGCCTGAGGTTTCCAGACGAAGATATGCTGATACGTCGACGTCATCATCGCAACGGCGTCCACGGTTGAACCCCGAGGGCAAAGGGAGCAACCAACACGGATCTCATTCCCGTGAACATGATGAATATCATCAATGGCGTGGCAAAAGAAACTCATGGCAGGAACGAAAATGGTGAACATTCCCCGAATGTTTCGCCGAAAGTACAGTCCCATATCGAGCAGAGGATTCTTTTTGCAATATCATTTTGTTGGAATCGAAGCTACAAACATGCAAACTGCAAACTCAATTTTGAGACTATCTCGTGCTGAAGATGTACTGAGGGAATCTCTGAGCGTGGCCATCGATTTCCATCCAGTTCAATTGCGTACATTCTTTTGTCCAGACTATGTGGTTGAGATTACAAGATCTCGCGGCGCCAAACTATATGCTCCCCTCAAAACTACCTGACCCTCGTATTTTCAAGCGTGTACGGAAGGTCAAAGGCCATTCATACATGGGGGGTGACCGTGGAAGTGAAATGAGAGTAGAGAATGATATGACATAGGCACATGTACGTTGCAGATACTTTTGGCTCAAGCGCCCCAGCAAAAAGAGACTGAGCTTATAGTTCGACTTCGCATGGACGCGGCGGTGGTCGATTGTTATTTTCACGAAAATCTTTCGGCTAATGCCCACTCGCAAATTTTAACGTGTGTTTTCCACGAGGCTGCTGAAATTCCTGGATTGATACCCTATCTTGCCCGAGGCTAAGTGAGTTGAGGTGGATCAACTGGAATTGCAGTAAACGGTGAGGTTTGATGGGGTTTGTGGTTTGAGAGTTTGCCTTTACAGGAAGGTCATTTCTCAAAAGGCTGCCGAGACGGGCATCCAACGACCCGACATGCTTGGCCAGCAGAAGATGAGCTGAAAGTTGACGGGTACTTCGAGTGGACGCTCAGCCTTGATTGAGTGAAGAGGGTGTTTTGATTGGCCATAACATGACATGTGCAAATCCAGAGGTGCTTTGATGACATGCGCGGCTGTTGTAATGAGCTTGAGTGTTGACTCGCTGGCCATGGCATGACATGTTCGTGTTGATCATGCTGGGTCACAATGTGGCCTTCGGATGTTTGTCCCTGCAGTCGCCGCCCACACAGCTCAGACTGTCAAATTTGCACTGATGCCCAGTTTGACTCCAAGGCCGCATTCTATACTGCGCTAGCTTTGAAAAAATTGCAACAATTGTTTGACGACTCACTCCTCGGCCGAGCTGAAGATTCAGAAACACGCACAAAAATGCGCAAATGTTGAGGAGCAACGATCTTCCCAAAATGTTTCTGGAAGAGCTCAGTCTGTGCTGAAGTTGTCAAGTCATGAAATTCTGTTTAAACAGTAGGAACAACACACAACACGAAACTGATAGGAACTACTGTGTTTACAAGTCAAGACAGGACCAGAGTTTTGGTGATCAAAGTCACTTAGGTGTGGGGTTGTTGATGCGGCTGTCCTGTGTTGTTTTGCATTTCTGGATCTTCCTGTCGGTCCTGTTTTTTGGTACGAGTGGCCTCCATCACAGGACAGCCCAAACTTCTCTTTGACGGCTTCGCACGCTTGTCCTAAAACCTGAAAGGAAGTTGGGTTGGGTTTCGGGGTCGCTTGATTATGCGAAGAGTGCTCAAGACTTTTGTTTTTTCATAGCCGCGGCGGCTAGAACACTGCCAAAAGCTGTGGTATTCGTAGAATGACATAGAATGACATAGAATGACAAAGAGTTTGGCTGTCAGAGGCAGCGCGTACCATTGCCTCGATTCATTGAAAGAAGGTTCCTTTTGTTGTCTACTTCGTTCCTAGAAACGAGTGTCTCTGCCGAGTCGGCCATCGGCCAAGACCTACGGGTAGTTTTAAACAACCTGGGAGAAACGCAGAGATATTCTTTGATGAGAACAGGTAGTCTCATCAGGGGTGGGTTCATGAAGGGTCATCAAAACTGTCAACAAATTAAAACACATCAATAAAACCTAATAGAAAATATAAACAATTACGGAAACATGAGAAAACATTACAGAACATTACGAAACATGATAAAACATTAGACTCATTAGACAATTGAGGAGATAATTGAGGTAATGGTCATAGATGGACTGCAGCATTCCACTCTTCTTTGGGTCGGCCTTCATTCCCAGATCCTTCAACTCAAAGGATGCTGTGAATTGGAAAGCTAAGCTGAGAGAGGTTCACACACATGCCTGGAGTATTTGGAAGAATCATTTCTTCCAATAAACCACTGTACACATTGGAAGACTCCAAAGTTCAAGAGCCAGGTGAAATTTCAATTGAAACCCTGGAAGATTTGGAGGCCATTGTGTTTGAGATGCCAGTGAAGGCAAAGTATAGCAGAAAGACTTGAACCACAGATCTGTCACCTCTTTGGAAGACAAGAGTGGAGGGTCACAGGGTGCAATGTTGCTGTTGTTTCTTGCAATATGTTTTTAAAATATGTTTTACTGTTAAATAATTTGTTCAAATAAGACATATGTGTTTTCATGTTTTATGTGTTGGGTTCTGTGAATATAGGTTTCAGCATAGTTGATGAGCTACCCAATGCCAGTGCCTAAGCGTGATGAATGAGATATTCTTCGTTGATGAATCCCAGACATGTCACTGTCAGCCATGTGTTTGCGGTCGCCTCCTAGGCCACTGCCCCCCTGCTAAACGGTGCTACGTTCCAATCACGCACATCCTTGCAAAGACATCTAAACACTGTGAAGTTGTGTAAAGGACAAGGAGTTGATGACAGCTCTGCACATGCTGTAAACAGAGAAGTGGGTGTGTGCTGCCGGACAAAAGCTTGACATCCAGTCTCAGCACTCTTGGGCAACAGAGAACATGCTTGCCTTGCTGTTGAACACTGAGTCAAGATGAAGTAAGATTTCGGGAAACTAGCTGTCACTTTACGGAGATACAAACGCGGACAGCTGCTCTATCAATCGACCAAAGTTCTGCTTTGTCATTTTGTTTGTTGCTCATGTTAGCCAAGCATGTTTGTTAAGTTGGCGTTGGGGGCTGGTTGCTGCTTCAGCCTGAACACGCGTGCATCGGTCACCGGGTATTCTTCAGGTATAGGTCCATCACACATGTTTGTGAGGAGCTCACCTCACTTCTACCTTTTGCCATCACATTGACTTGCGTGGCGTCATAAGAATGGCACAACAACAACAACAACAGCAGCAACAGCAACAGCAACAGCAAGAAGAAGAAGAAGAAGAAGAACAAGAACAAGAACAGGAACAAGCACAGGAACCGCAGCAGCTACAGCAACAGCTGAACAAAGAGCGGTTTCGGGGAAGTTGAACTTTGACCATTTCAGCGCAGTGCAAGGTCCACGCAACAGTGTGAGGAGCGAACTTGAAACAACTAAGGATGGAGCGACTTGACAAGGAGGCGGTCTCGTGGATAGAGGCTCTAGTCTCATTCTTCCGTTTTGGCTTTGTTGGGCATTCACCAGGAATCTCTTCAGAGTATCCCTCATACCAATACCACTGGCCGAAGACTTGCCACATTGCCTGCCAAAACAAGTAATTAGTCAGGTGAGGGACATTAGATTTTATGTTACCTCGCGCCCTCCTCCTCCCGCTCCTCCTCGTCCTTCTCATCCTCCGCGTCGTCCTCAACCGCCCGCCGGACAGCGACTGCGAGGGTCGTGTGGCAGTGTGCCGCGCCGGACCGCAACTGCGAGGGTTACGGAGCAGTGTTCCCCGCCAGACTCCCAGACCTCAACTGCGAGCTTCGGCTGGTAGCGCTCGATCCCTGCCGGACCTCAACCGCGAGGTCCGCTTATAGCAGTGTTCCCTGCCGGACCTCAAACGCCAGCTCTTTGTAGAGGACTATGTGTTCTGTGTGACTGTCGCAAACACCATCACAAACACACAGCCACAACACACAACTACAAACACACAATCACAAACACAACCGCAAACAAAACCACAAGCGCACATACACAGTCACAAACACACACAACCAACCACCACACAACCACAAACATGCGTGCTTTGGTTCACCAAACAGTCTGCTTTGACTTCGACAATCAGGTGGGCCCAAATCAGTTCAGGATTTATTTGGATACCACACCCCCCACCCCCAACACTTCCCCAATGTCACTGTTGCATATCAGACGAAGCTGTCAAAATCTAGCAGCGCTCACCGGTGACCGTTATTTTTCAGCAAGAAATTTAAGTCTCAGCGGGCAGAAATGAAAATGCCTTTTGTTATTGCTCAGCAAAAACATTCAGATTCAGCACTGGGAGCAGAACATTTGCTTCTCTTTGGGTGTTGAAAGCTCAGAGTCGGCGCTAAGCACATGGGGATCAGAATGCTTTTTGGTATGCTCAGCAAGAGCATTCAGATTTCAGCACTGGGAGCACAACATCTGCTTCTCTTTGTCCAACCATAAGCGTCGAACAGAAAATGGAGGCGCGAAGCGTCTTTGCGGAATAATGCAAGTTGTGTAAGCACGGACAAGTAGCAAGTAAGAAAGCATCAAGTTGGAGAAGAGAGAAGCAGACAAGTACAATCACACAACCACACACACAACCCCAAACACACCCACAAACACGCAATCACAAACACAACCACACAAAAGCAACCACAACACACTGCCACAAAGACACATTTACAGCACACATCCACAATACGCAACCACCGCACACAACCACAACGCACAACCACAACCACAGCACACAACCAAGGACCCACAAACAAAATCATTTCTTTGAATGGAGAAACCATGGCGCGCCAAAATACATCGGAACCCATGGATGCGGTGGCTATTCCAGGAGAACGGCCGGCGAGGATTTACATCGAAAACGGGGAGTCGCTTTAGCGAGCTGAGCTCTGTTGGGACGCAGCGCAAGCGCCACCAAACACAACCCATTCCAATGACATCATGCTCATTGCTCCAAAGAACGCAATGGAGCAGTGTTTGAGGCTGCGCTTCGAGCAGGTCGAGTGGTGTTTCGCACTGCTGGTGGGGGCTACTCGAAGTAAACTAATTTTGGAAGCTCACCGCCTGGATCATTGCATGGCCCAGATGATTTCCTGGGAGTCCATCTATGAATGCCCAGCCGCCAGCTGCGCAATATTGGCAACGCACAGCCTTCATCACCAAGCCAGAGATTCGCTGCTCAGTCCAAACTATTTTGATCTTACTTGTGCAGCCATTAACCAAGGACATGTTCTTCTCCCCAGTTCGTGTTCGTGCGGGTGTTCTGAAACGTTTTGCCATTCTGAGGAAGGAAGTGTTTCTGTCAATTTTTGGCGTCAAAAATTTTGACTTGGAGGAGTCGGAAGAAACCTGTTTATATAAAAGACCTGCGCCAAACTTCAGAGTTCTGTGATTGATTGAAGAATTACGAAGCACAGCTGGAACCTAAAGTAAAGGGGTCTACCGGTATACCTTACGGGCGTTGCGTTTGCAAAACAGCAAACATGATAAAGACAACGTATGTCCAGGAAACCTTGAGTTAAACATTCTAGGAACTTCTGAGTTGCGGGGAAATCAAGTAAAATGACCTCACACGCACATACACACAAAGTATCACAAAGTCATATTTCAAGCAGTTTTGGGTTACCATGAACCTCGATGTTTCACTTGTAGTAATATTCACCAGACTGTTTTTTTGACCATCTCATTGGATCTCATTTGACATCCTCTCATCTCACGGTCAGTTGGAATCATCAAGTGTCGCCGGAATGTTGTGGATCGAGGGGTCACTTAATTGTTGTTTGCGCTGCCATTGCATTCTATCCATGTTCTCAGTCCACTGGGCTATACCGAAGTTGACTCCAGCCCGGGGTTTGGGCCGCCTCCTGCCGCACACATGGCAGCACTTCCTGAACAATGTTGGCGCGCGTGCCAGACAAGTTGCTCTTCACTTGGTACAACGGACGCTCTCATATCCTGGCCATTCCATACACTTCCTTACAGGGCCTAGAATCCTAGAATCGATAAAGATAGAAAACATATATATATATAGATATATATAGATAAACTGGAGGCACTTGGCCAGGCCTTGCAGTACATGCTACCCAAATGGTTTTTTCTGCAATCTTGGGCCACTTGGGCGCGGTTCTGGATGGTTCTGGGCCTGAAGCCACACCTCTCCAAGCTCTCAATTTCAACATAGCTCTCATTTAGCTCCAAGCTCTTCTAGCTACTAGTAGTAACGCCCTTGTTACTAGGAGCGATGCGCTTGTTACTAGTAGCTTCTAGCTACTAGTAGTTTGACATGCCCTTGTTACTAGTACTGTAGCTTCTAGCTACTAGTAGTTAGGAATGCCCTTGTTACTACTAGGGATGCCCTTGTTACTAGTAACTTCTAGCTACTAGTAGTTAGTAATGCCCTTGTTACTAGTAGCGGTGCCCTTGTTACTAGTAGTTTCTATCTACTAGTAGTTAGTAATGTCCTTGTTACTAGGAGGTTCTAGCTACTAGTAGCTAGTAATGCCCTTGTTAGTAGTAGCGATGCTCTTGTTACTAGTAGCTTCCAGCTACTAGTAGTTAGGAATGCCCTTGTTACTAGTAGCGGTGCCCTTGTTATTAGTAGCTTCTAGCTACTAGTAGTTAGTAATGCCCTTATTACTAGTAGCGGTGCCCTTGTTACTAGTAGCGATGCGCTTGTTACTAGTAGCTTCTAGCTTCTAGTAGTTAGTAATGCCCTTGTTACGAGTAGTGGTGCCCTTGTTACTAGTAGCTTCTAGCTACTAGTTGTTAGTAATGTCCTTGTTACTAGGAGCGATGTCCTTGTTACTAGCAGTTTCTAACTACTAGTAGTAATGCCCTTGTCACTAGGAGGGATGTAGTTAGAAATGCCCTTGTTACTAGTAGCGATGCCCTTGTTACTAGTAGTAGCTTCTACTAGTAGTTTGTAGTGTCCTTGTTACTCGTAGGGATGCCCTTGTTACTATCAGCTTCTAGCTACTAGTAGTTAGTAATGCCCTTGTTACTAGTAGCGATGC